GGGACAGGCCACTGGCACTGGGGTAGCGACGCGCCTTGGCCGGTGGGTCTGGGTCAGTGGGTCGTGCGTGCACCCACAGCGGCCTCACCCCCCGCCCCCCTCCCCCAGCAGGCCTGGGGACTGCAGACCCTCTGTTGGGGTGGAGTGTGTGAGTGCTCGAGTGTGCGCACGAGGCGTCGCCTCCGCGTAATCAATGGCACCTGGACGAGGTGCCGCCCAGCCGAGCTGGGACCGGACCAGTCTTGGGTGGGGTGGAGGAGGGGGGGAAACAGGCGAAGAGGTCCCCAGGACGCCCTCCCCTCCCCAATCCCGTTCCCCACCCACGCCAGAGCGCAGCGCCCGCGGGCGCATCTCAGGCCTGCCCAGCCCCTCTCCGGCGGGCCCCCGCGGACGTGGGGCCCCCGCGGGTGTGGAATCCTCGCCACGCTGACGCCCCGAGGGCACCCTCCGAGAGCGGCGGGCGGTGGACCGGGCTGGGTCAGGGATGGGGGCACCGAGTCGCGGATCCCCCGGGTCCCCCCACCTGTGCCAGCGGCCCCTCAGGGGGCGGCGGCGGGGGGAGGAGCAGCTGACGTCACGCGCGGTCCCGGGGTGCCCGCGGCGGTGGCCGCAGCCCGGCCGCGTGACCCGCGCGCGCCAATGGCCCGGCCGTCTCCGGGGCGACGCGGAGGGTCCGCGCTGCGCCGCCACCGCGCCCCCGCCCCGAGTCCGCACTGCAGAGAGTGGCGGCGAGCAGGCGCCGGCGCGGTGGCCCACGTGCCGCACGGAGAGAGGGACCGCGAGAGGAAGCGGGAGAGCCGCGCGAGAGAGCCGGGGAAAGAGGCGCGCACGACCGGGCCGCTGCTCCGCGCAGCCCCTGCGCCCCTCCTGCTGGGACCTCCGCCGGGAACGACCGCGACCCAGAGGAAGGTACCAGACCCCGGGGAGGGTGCGCCTGGCCCCCGGGAGACCCCGCCGCCCTCCGCCCGCTCCAGCGGGACTGCGGCAGCCCGCGGGGGCAGGGGCTGGGGAGCGGGGGGTGGGGGGGCGGGGTGAGGAGGGGGCTGTGGCCCCCGCGGGTCGGTGGAAGGCGGGGCAGGGATCGAGCCTGGGCGGCAGAGGCGCCGCCCCGGGGGAGGAGGGTCACCTGGCGGTGGGAGGAGGGTGTGGGCATTAACCTCGCTCTCGTCCGGTTCCTGTTCACAGGCTGTGGAGACCTGGGCCGTTCTCTCCGAGTCCTAGCCGCCCTCCACCCCACCCCCCGCCTCATTCTTTCCTCCCTCCCAGTAGCACCCTCCCTGGTCTGCGTCGGGAACGGTTTCCTGCCCGTAGTATTAGCCCCGCGCCGGCAGAAATTGCGCGCGATGGCGGTGACGTTGCTGCAGGACTGGTGCAGGTGGATGGGCGTCAGCGCCCGCAGGGGCCTGCTCATTCTGGGCATCCCGGAGAACTGTGATGAAGCCGAACTCCACGAGTCCCTGGAGGCCGCCCTGTGGCCCTTGGGCCACTTCACCGTGCTGGGCAAAGTGTTTCGAGAGGAGGATAACGCCAGTGCGGCCCTGGTCGAGCTTGACCGGGAAGTCAACTACGCTTTGGTCCCCAGGGCAATCGCGGGCACCGGGGGTCCTTGGAACGTGGTCTTTGTGCCCCGTTACTCAGGCGAGGAGTTTCTCAGTCGCGTGTTCCACTTCCTGGAGCAACAGGGGCAGATGGTGGAGACCGTGGCTGGGGTCCTGGGGCTGGGACTGCGCAGGGTGTGCTGGCTCCGATCCGTCACTCAGGCCATCCAGCCCTTGGTGGAGACCCTGCGCTACGAGCGCCTGGGCGTGTTTTCCGGGAGGGATCCGCTCGCCCCGGGGGAGGAGCCCTTTGAGGCCTGGCTCGACCACGCCTCCGACATGCTACAGGTGTGGCAGAGTGTCTCAGAAAGGGAGAAGAGGCGGCGGCTGATGGAAGGCCTTCGGGGGACGGCCCGGCAGCTCATGCATGAGCTCCTGGCGGACAACCCTGCCAGGACGGCGGAGGACTGCCTGGCGGCCCTGACCCAGGTGTTTGGAGACAACGCCACCCAGAGGACCATCCGGATGAGGTGTTTGACCGCTCACCAGCAGCCGGGCGAGGGGCTTTCTGCTTTCGTGTTGCGGCTGGAAGTCCTGCTGCAGAAAGGCATTGAGAAGGGGGCCCTGGCCAGAGGCTCAGCTGACCTCCTGCGCCTGAGGCACATGCTCACCAGGGCCATCGTTCCTGAGCCTCTGGACGAGGTACTGAGGAAGCTGAGAATGGCTGGGAGGTGTCCAAGTTTCCTAGAGATGATGGGGATTGTTCGGGAGCCTGAGACATGGGAGGCCACTCTAGCCAGGATCGAGGGAGCCCAGGCCGAGGAAGGGGCCGGTGCCCAGGCCGAGGAAGGGGCCGGTGCCCAGGCCGAGGAAGGGGCCGGTGCCCAGGCCGAGGAAGGGGCCGGTGCCCAGGCCGAGGAAGGGGCCGGTGCCCAGGCTGAGGAAGGGGCTGGTGCCCAGGCCAGGGCTAAGGCGGAGGATGATAAGATGGAGGAGAGGCAGCTGGAGGAGCCAGAGTGGGAGGAGGAGGAGGAGGAGGAGGAGGAGGAGGAGGAGGAGGGGGAGGACAGTGATGATCGTGACACTCTCCCCGAAGACCTAGGTCAGGCAAGCCCCTCAGAGGCCCCTGGGGGCCCCACTCCTGCCCAGATGGGCCAAGCTTCCAGGGCAGGCCCAGGAGGTCCTGGCGATGAGCCAGAGGGCCTCCCCGAGGCCGGAGACCAGGAGGCCGGAGAGCCCCCCCGAGGAGGGGCTCGAGCCCATCCCAGAGGGGTCGGGAAACGTGGATGGGGCTGGGGAGACGATCCCCCCCCGAGTCCTCCTCAGGCTAATAGGCTCAGAAGGCCCAGGGCCCCCCTCTCCTCTCAGGCAGCAGAGCTCTGGAGGCAGGGGGAGGCCATGCCGGGGCAGCAGCCTCACCCCACATGGGGGGGCAGGGCCGAGGGAAGGCCCCACCCAGCCCAAGCCAAGACCCCAGGCACTCCACCACCCATAAGGGGACCTCAACACCACCATCAGCCCCTCCAAGTGACCAGGATGACCACACTTGACACCACATGGGGCGGGGAAATGTGCCCCCCCCAACCCATGGCAGCACCATACCTGGCCCCAGCCCCAGTCCCAATCCATGCCAACTCAGGCAGCCAGTCTGGGAAGCACCCCTGAGTGGCTGACCCTAGCCTAGGTGAGGGGCACCCGGAGCCATCTGGCACCCACTCTGGACTGGGAGACGTTAGGGACCGCCTCAAGGGTGCCAGCCTCTTGGGTCGCCCAAGAGGGAGACCCTCATGTACATCCCCCAGGGCACGTCGCTCCATGTTCTGGGAAACCCGCTTGTGTCTCTGTAGGGCCCTTATGACCCACGTGTCACGTTACTCCCCCACCCCACTAGGTCCCGTTCCTGTGCAGAGCCTTGAGGTGTGCAGGAGCCCGCGGTGGGTGTCCTGGCCCACCGGGGCAGCCGCCCCCCCCGCCCGGGGGCCTGCCGTGAGCTTCGGTGGTGACCGGGGCTCCGCCTGCTCTCTCCCAGTGTTGTGAGCTCCACCGCTGCTTTCTCGGTGTAGATTCAAGCCGGCCGCTGCTTGTTCTCGTGGAGATGTGTGTGTGCGCTTCTCTGAGCAGCTGTCCCCAGCCCCAGCCCCGAGATCCCCAGCCCAGTTCCAGGAGACGGCCGGAAGGATGCCCGAGGGCACGGCTGCTGCTCGCCCCGTGACCTCGGGAAGGAGGAACCGACCAAGGACCGAGGTGGCCAGCGGGAGTCTCCACGGGAACCGTGCTCTGATGTGCCACCCCGTTGTTTCTTGTGACTCCGTGTCCCGGGCTTGGCCGAGTGTCCCCTGCTGCGTTTTCCGCCATCCTGGGACTGTCCTGTGCAGACCATGGGGCGGGACCAGGCCCCAGCACGTCGGCCAGAGGGGAGGGTGCCCTGGGGTGAGGGGACGTGGCCAGCGTCCATCGTCCTGGCCACAGGTTGATCGTGGGGCCCCCAGGAAGGGAGGCAGGAGGGCCACGGTGTTGGGAGAAGCGGAGACACTTCATTTGGGACCCCAAGAGGAGGGGGGAGCCGTAACCTATGGGCTCTAGTGGCCATTAGATGTTCCACTCTCTGTTGTCATTCCCTCTTTGATGGTTTCAGTACATGTTTTCTTCAATAAAGTTAATTTCATGTGTCAACTGAGTCTTGCGTCTACTGTGGGCAATTGAGGGAAGGATCTACTGGGGATGTGGGTGTAGGGGGGAAACAGTGGCCTGGTCAACATGGGAGTATATGTGGGGTAAGCTCCATGAGAACTTTGCAGTGTCTTTTTTTTTTAAGATTGTATGTATTTATTTGACAGAGAGAGACACAGCAAGAGAGGGAACACAAGTAAGGGGGTGGGACAAGGAGAAGCAGGCTTCCTGCTGAGTGGGGAGTCTGATGCACGAATTGATCCCAGGAACCTAGGATCATGACCTGAGCCAAAGGCAGACCCTTAATGACTGAGCCACCCAAGTGTCCCAGCTTGGCGGTGTGTTCATTGCAAAAGGTGGTGAACATCTAGGGAACATTGGCTTATGGACCTGGCAAGGGAACAAAGCTAAGCAAAGCCAGATGGTGCCAGTGAGCAGAACGTAGCTGGGAGTGTTCAGTGGCTATCTGGATTCTCGGGGCACTTAGGAAACTTCCAGGAATAAGGGAGGGTAAGGGACAGCAGGAAGTAGCCAGAGGCCCCAGCATCCCTCCCTGTCTTATTGGGCCTCCGGGCATCCAGACCTAGAGCATCAAAATCAAGCCAGCCTGTGTTATTGTATCTGTAAGTGTGTGTATGAATAAGTATGTGGAAGTATGTATGAGTTTGTGAATGTGTGCCTATGTGTCAGTGAATGTGTATGAATATGTGTGAGTATGTAAGACTGTGTTAGTGAATGTATGTAAATGTGTGTTGAGTGTAAGCATGTATGAGTATGTGTTACTTTGTGCATGAGTGTGTGTGACTATGTGAGTATGCAGGTATGTGGGTGTATGTTTATATATGTTAGTGTGTTCAGGGAAAATGTGTGTCAATGTGTAAGTGTCTATATATGAGCATGAGAGTGAAATGAACAGATGTCAGTGAATGCACGTGTGTGTAAATGTATACATGGGTTAATGTGTCTTGTGTGTGACTGTGTGAGTATGTATGAATTTGTGAGCATGTACAAGTTTGTCTGTATATAACTGTGTGTGAGTATGACTATGTGGGTGTCCAAGTATATATTTATGAGTGTTAATGTGTATAAGTAGATTTGTGTCAGTGAATGTATGTGAGTGTGTGTGAAAGTGTTCAAGAGTAAAAATGTCTGGTGTATGAGTATGTATGAGTTTGCGTGAGTTAGTGTGTATATGAGTATGAGTAAATATGTGCTAACGGGTGAGTGTACATGTGTTAGTGTATGAGTGAATGAATGAGAAAATGTGTGAGCGCTTGTGTGAGTGCATGTGTTAAATGGTGGTTTTTTATTTCTTTGAGGAATCAAACAGAGATGGAAGAAGGTAGAGCAAGACACATGTCAGTGCTTCACAAAACAGGAGCAAGACTTATGTTGGTAGGTACCAAGCTGATGAACCCTACAGCTGCATCTACTATGCAATCATCCATTTGCAGCCCCTGGCATGTTACTTTTATCAAGATTTCTACAGTTGTGTGTGTTACTAATATTCTTGTGTGATCAAAGCCTATGTGAACATCTGTTTGTGAGTCTTTTTCTGGACTTTTGTTTTCCTTTCTCTTGGATAAACACCTAGCATTGGAATGGCTGGGCCACAGAACAGGGTTATGTTTAACTTTATGAGAAACTCTTCACAGATTCCTAAAGCTGTTATGATAATTTGGACTCCCATCAGTAGTGCCTGTTTCTTGGAGTTCTCAAAAATTTTATGTTATCACCTTTGAACTTTTATCCATTCTGGTCAGTGACTCATTGTGGTATTTCACTGTGCTATCAATTTGCATTTTTGTGATGATTAATGATATGGAATACTTTTTGTGTAATTATTAGCTATCCTCCTTAATGAACTGCCTATTCAAGTCTCTTGCCCAGTTTTCAAGTGGGTTCCTTGCCTTCGTTTCATTATTGACTCGTGGAAATTGTCAAAATACTCTGGTTACAAGCCCTTTATAAGATATACCTGTTGGGATTATTTTCTCCCTGTTATGTCTTGTCTATGCACATTCTTAGTGGGTCTGTTCATAAGCAGATGGATTTAACTGTGATGAGGTTCACTGCATCCTTTCTTTTCTTCTATAGTGATTAGTTAATGGGTCCTGCCCAAGATAACTTTCCCTAACCCACATTTGCAAAGGTATTGTCTTGTTTTCCTCTAGAAGCCCCGTAGTTTTAGCCTTGCATTTAGGTCTTAGGATGTGCCTAAATTAATTTTTGTATTTCAGGGGAGGTGTGGGGTCAGGATGCATTTGAAAAAAAATTCATTTTGACACTGATTTTATTTGGAGTGTTGGTAAAAAATTAGTTCTGTCCTTGTGGGTCTATGATGGTATTCCATATTTCCCTCTTCTGTGCTTTTCAGTTCCAGACTTTCCATTTGGTTCTTCATTATAGATATCACTTTCCTATAGAGACTTTTCCTCATTGTTTCCTTCATTATTTTTATGTTTCACTTTCAATTCTGGAACATATTTATTTCCAATAGCTGTCTTAAAGTCGCTGTGTGTAGGGGAGCCTGGGTGGCTCAGTGGCCTCTGCCTTCGGCTCAGGTCATGATCTCAGGGTCCTACCAACCCCCTGCATCGGGCTCTCTGCTCAGCAGGCAGCCTGCTTCCCCCTCTCTCTCTGCCTGCCTTTCTGCGCACTTGGGATCTCTCTCTCTGTCAAATAAATAAATAAAATCTTTAAAAAATAATGTATTAAGTTGCTGTGTGTTAATCCCATCATCCTACGCATTTCTGGACCTACTGGCACATTTCTTCTTTGTTTATGGGTCATGTTTCTTTCCTTCACATATCTAGAAGTTTGGCATAGAGGCCATTTTGGTTGTTATGTTGTTAAGTGTCTAAGTTTTGTTTATCTTATTTATGTGTTCAGTTTTTTTCCAATATGCACTTTGTTCACTTACTAGAATGAGCCTTTCAGGGTTTGTTTTTAAGCTTTGTTAATGTAGGTCTTATAGAACTACATGAGCCATTTTCCTAATGTATGACTACACTGGGTTCTGTGATGAACATCTGGGGACTTCAGTGTGGTATCTCTACTTTGGCTGGTGGGAACACTGTGTAAGCTCTCGTAGCTCTCTATCTTAGAGCTCCTGGTGGGTGTTCTGTGTCCAAACTTGTGGTGTCTCAATCTGAGCATGAAGAGTTAGTATGCAGTTATAAACTCAGCAATAACTTTGTGCCATACTCTGGAGTCTTTCTATGCTCAGTTCCCTTCTCTCTAGTACACTGCTTGCAAAATGGAGTAATATCCAAATCCACGACTCAGCAAGATTGCCACTGCTTCTTGGATTCCCTCTCACTATGCCATAGACTGTGAAGTACCTCCATGTCAATAGCGGCACTGATCTTTGACCTCACCTTGGTTATTTGCCTTCTCTCAGGTCTCACAATCTTGGCAAACTCCCCACAGCCAAGAAGCTCATCCTGTAGAGGAAGGAGTCAAATGTTCAGAAGATATTTGGTACCTGGAGAAAAGGTTAGTGTAGATGGGGCCCAGAGTGATGAATAGAGGGGCAAGGAAAGGGAGCAGATCCACAGGGAACGTGTATGGGGCTGTGCAGTTCCTATGGTACCCATGCTATCTTCAGACTTCTGCTCCAGATATGCAGCAGGCTACGGGAATCTCCACGGAAGTATCACTACCCTAGCAGTTTGTAAAGAAGAGGAGTAACCTGCTCATGTCTGTGAACTACAAAAGTCAGTCAGAAAAAAAGTGTGATGAACTAGAGGGAGCTTTGTGTCATATCAAAAGTGCTTATACAGGTCCAGGTGATAAGTGAACCCAGAGGCTACTGAGTGTTATGTACTGAGGTTAGAGGAACACCAAAGCTGGGAGTTAAACAGATTCCTGTTGGACAGGATCTCTTTGCAGACCTAAGCCAAAATTCTCCATTGAAAAGTGGCATTTTGCCTAGCCATCTTCCACTCCCTAGAGGCAGCTGTCTTTGTCAGCTAGTACCTGCTCTTTTCTAAACCAAAACTACAGGAGGAATTCAAGAAGGAGGGCCTACGTTCTGTCTAGAGGCCATGTTCTACTGGCTCCACTCTTGTATGAGTTGACCCTGAAAAGGCTCATTTCTGCCAGGGAGTGTGTGAGGACCACAAACTCAGGCAGAATTGTTTTGTCCCGACTTTGCCCCAGTATCTCATCCCAATTAAGGCCAAACAACTTGTTTACAGTTAACTACCACTCCTAGTAGTAAGTGTTTACTGGATTGCTCACAACCTCTTTGCCTAAAGGTAACGTTTCTTTGGCATTCCTTCCAGGGATCCTGATCACTGCCCTCCTCACACACACACTCGGGATTTGGAGAAAT